GACATGGCCAGAGCCCAACTGCTCTCAAACCACAAGCTAAAGAAAGCCAAGTAATGAGGCGAAACCCAGCGCACAAATGAACATCTAGATGACAGTATAGTATCAGTTCACATTTCTTTTAGAGAGTCAGTAAACTGAAAATTAAACAAATGTAAGTAGTTCAACCATAGAAACAGCAGGATGTTATTGAATTGTTTGGATGACTTCATAATATTTCTGTTCAAATCTGATCGGAGTCATATCTCTCTTGAGGTGGGATAATATGAATGTTTAGGTCTATTTCTCACATGTAGCAGGTGAGAGCCAAGTAGAATCAAGTCTCTTCTTACACTTCTCATTATTTACCCGCTTCCCAGATATTTATGAACCTTTATCTTCAATCTGATTTTTCTTTTCTTCTCTTTGTTTTGTCACATTGATCTCTATTCTAATGCAGCAATGGGCAATGATGTCAAGCACTGTTTTCCTAACATAAATAGTTTGGTCAAATACATATTTTACATTTTCAAGAGGTTCATTTCAAACTGTAATGCATTTAAGGAGATTAAATAAAGCGGTTTTGCTCTTGAACTTAATGCTCAGGACCCACTGCCTTCTCAAACATCTCAAAGTCACAAAGTTCAGTACTCTTAATCCATTTGAAGAATATTCTGATGAAAAATTTCTCTTTCGCACTTAATAGATTTTGTAAACTCTCACACCTCTTGGAGATGTTCTGGTAACACTTGTAAAAGACATAAACAGGATACATTTGGCTGATTCTAAAAAGTCAATTTCATTTGTAAGGTGCTTTTCACAATGCTCTTTGTTTCAGTGCAGTTTTACAGAAAATGGTTCCCTACTTCCCTACTATCTCTAGGACACCTCCAGGGTGGAAGAAATGATGAGTAGTCAAACTTTCATGAGAAGTGAAATTAGGAAGGAAGTTTTTAGGCATCACATACCCTTTCATTTGTCTCATGTGTCTCTTATTAATGTGACCTTAGGACTATTTCAAAACACATTTAAAAGCAGCACATTTATTGTGACAGCCATATTAACAAGTTACCATATTCACACTGCAGCATTAGTGGCACAGTGCTGTGTAATACTCCTGGTTCTTGTGTTTTATTATTGTTGTAATTATTAGCACCTGTGTCTTGTTTAACCTGATTAGCATGTTATATATAGCTATGTGTTTATTCCAATTCTTTGTCCAGTGTAAACTTTTTAGATGGTTTCCATATTGAGGTCTGTTTTCAGGTCTTTCTTTTTTCTCATTTCCCTTGCTCTTGGGGGTTGAATATATTTGTGATTTGTCGCTTTTAATAAAAGGAGCACCACTTGGGTTCAAAAACGTTTTGCTTTAAACAATCTATTTGTTACATGACTGAAGTTGATGAGTCGATGAAGAGATACTGTTGAGATGAAATGCACTGCTACTACACCACAAACTAAACTTTTCTCAACTTTGACCAAAATACCTCACACAACTAAAACGTCAGCATTAAGTACCAAAGTATGATGTCATCACTCCAGTGTTAGACCAGTGTTACTCCAATGCCAGTATAAATCATGCATCTATAGATCTGATGTTCTATGGCAGCCCATTTGCAACATAATGAGGCCCACAAACACTTGGATTGTATACAGTGTTTGATGTTGTAAATTTGGAGCTCTATTTTTTTTTTCTGTCCACTTTGAGAGAACAGCTGGTAGTTAGTCACATTTATTGTTGTATCTCTCCTATAGACTAAAAGAAGGAACAACATATAGTTTTACATTGAGTTTGGTGCAAACATTTAGCAAGCAGCTGCAGTGGCTCTTCATGACAGTGAGATGGGTTCATATACTTCAATACTCTCACCTCATGCAACAGTATGACTCACCATATGGGACCTGGCTGAGAAAACATTTGGCATTTAGCTTGTTGTAACTGGACAAAATGTTTATTTCAGAGCTTTATAAACAAAATGTATCAGGACACATTAACAGAAGATGTTTTTTTACTGGTCTTTGCAAAATAACAAGTGAAAGTCTACTTTGCTGATCTTTTCAGACCATCACAACCTTTAAAGTCCCCTTGTAGTGAAAATCAAGTTTTTTATGTTGTTTATTTGTCTATGTGGTGTTTTTTAAATGCTTTTAGACAAACCATGTGCCAATCCATTAATCAACACCATTTCTGAGTATTTTCTCCTTAAAGGGGTCATATGATGTTGCTAAAAAGAACATTATTTTGTGTATTTGGTGTAATGAAATGTGTTTATGCGGATTAAAGTTAAAAAAACACATTATTTTCCACATACTGTACATTATTGTTTCTCCTCTATGCCCCGCCTTTCTGAAAGGCGGCGATTTTTACAAAGCTCATCGGTCTGAAAAGTGAGGTGTGCTCTGATTGGCCAGCTATCCAGTGCGTTGTGATTGGCCGAATACCTCGAGCGTGTGACGGAAATGTTACGCCCCTTAACCTAATGTGATGCCCTGTCCGGCCGGAGCGGCCAGCACAAAACCAAAAATAAATTAGAGCAAAAAACCCATGAAGCCATGGTTTAATGTGTATTTAGAACTGCTAATTTGCATTATAAACACCTCTCCCGCATCGGCGTCGGCTCTTCACACGCGTATGCTCGCGGGCGCAAATTAAGAATCACAAACGGCTGCATTCGAGTGTTCAAGGCATTTTAGGTCAAGTAAGTAACTTTAACGAATGTTACAGTATTCACTGTAGTTGTCCGCTAGTAAAAACATAGTTTTATCAGTCATTATCCGTGTATGCCATTGTTTTGCGTGGATCAGTAGGCGCTGGCTGGTGTGACTGAGTGGAGGCGGGACTAATTTGCATATTCATAGATCCGCGTATAGTAAATGAGGCAAGGGTGTAGAGTTGCATTCAAGCTATTTTAAGGCATGAGAAAATTATTTTCACAAGAAAAAACATTTAAATATGTCATTTTGATGATCAAAGATATTTTATATTTGACCACAGGGGGATTTTTAAGAAATAGCTGAAGATACCTCTTTTCCATGAACAAAATATTTCCATAACCATAAACAAGAGCACTATAAACTACACTTCCTTTAGCACCTCCTTTCTTTCTTTTCCACACTGTTCTGGTTCTTTATGGTCTACTCTTTTATGGAAACTCTGTATTGTGGTTTTGCTAATATTGTTAGTTAAAATTTTTCTAATTTGTAAGTAACTGAATAAAAGCATCAATTAAATGATTGAATCATTCATTTAATCAGGCAGATTTGTTGATGCTTCAATGTGTTTGTGGTAAATATAGCACAGAAATTCCTGAGTACAAATGTCCTCGCCAGTTCATTTTGGTTGTGGTTTTTGTTATGGCCGTCATTAGGAAAACACCAGTTTCTCCAATAGAAATATGATTTTCTTCCATAGCTTCTACAGAGAACTTTCCTCAACTGTTTTTCTGCTCTTCTGTCCATCAAACGTGGGTGAATATGAGATCCCCAAAGAATGTTTTATGGGCAAAGGTTTATGGGTCAGTGGTTTCAGACAGGATATCAAGACAGCGTTGTACTGTGAAGGCTATATTTTATTTTCTTGTCTGTTAATGATATGTAACATCAGGGAGCAAAAGAGGGTGGTTATGGTGGAATATTGACAAACAGTGAAGGGAAGAAAAAAAAGACCCTTCCACAAAAGTGTGAAAAAACTGGTGCTAAAAGATGAGCAAAGCATTCAAAGAGATACCAGCATATATCTTCAAGGATCAAAACGGTGTTTCATATCAGGATTAAAAAAAGGTTAGAGAAGATAAAACTTAGAGCAAGGGAGAAGAAAGTAAATCATCTTTCATTGTTGTCCAATCTTATTTTGTAGTCCATGCTGGTCCTTATGTAGGTCAGTTGAAATCAGATTGTTTTTAGCCCCTGACAGAACAATGCTTTCTGCTTGATGTAATTGCACTAGTCTGTCTCACTACCCACAATGCACAGCCCTGATATCCCTCCAAGTTATATACTTATCCGATCAAGGTCAAACTGCCTTAAAAGGCCCTAGACGGTGAGTGTGCAGCTGTTACATTCAACAGCTTGAAATATTACTTATTTTTTCCATCTTTCTCTCCTTTCATTGTCTCGGGAGTTTGAAATTTTTTTAATTTTATTTTTTTTATTCCTGCAGTAGACATCCTTATTGTTAAGCTAAGTTAGCAACTGGGTCAAACGAGAGTTTAGAGACAATTATTCATATAAAAAATAATAGGAAAAATAACACAGACTGCTAATTATTTCTAAATGTTTTATTTGGAATAAATACCTTGAAGCATGACAAAAAAAAAATATTAATGTATAACAAGACGTAATAGGTATTTACATGACTGCACAGCCAGATGGATGTATACATGGTATACAAGCCCATGCAGGACATTGAAATCTTTTGCTGTACAAAAGCGCAAAAGAAAAATATGCATTTAAGTCATACAGAAACCATCTTTTAGATGGACGATATGGTCACTCTGACGAACCTTGATCATGAACGTAACATGTTTAGCGTATTACAGGGATTTTCACTTACTGTGTACAAAGAACGACTTGTCACTAAAGCACAGGGTACGACACTGTACAGCCTTGTGCCACCAGTTCTTAAAATTCATTGTAATAGTAATAATAACTTAATTAAAATGGCAACTGTACCAGACAGGGCATGATTATAGCAGCTGCACCTCTGGCTCAGTGGTAGTTAGAGTAGAGGAGATAAACAGCATTACAACAACAACAAAAAAGGGATCTGTTTGAAAGCTGGACGAGGAGGGAGTGTGTTTGGCAGTACAGAACATGGCTGACAGCAGGAAATATGCTGGCCAGAAAAAAAATTAGGTCTGCTGAACTAAATAGCAGTGACTTCAAGGTGAATGGACATGCAAAAAGAGTTTAACAACAGACGGCTAACATGCTAACACACACGTACTGATAAAACACAGGTCTTGTGTACATAAGGCTTTCTCCTTGCTGTTTTTGTTTTAGGGGGCTAATACATTGGCAAAGACTTAAACATTTCCATGATCTGTACTTTGTCAAAATGGCCCCTGTGAGTTACTGCATGTCATATTGCATCGCTAAAGGTGGATCGCTGAATTTCACGAAAAACCATGTGGAAAGTAGTTAGAAGACTTCCAGTTACAATACTAAACAGATGACTTCATTTATTTGCATGACGTAAAGCACTGGGGTAACCGGCTTCCTTCATCCTGTTATATTTAGTCCTGTTTGCTGACATGAAGAATGTGCTGATGTGCCGTGCTTCCTCTCAGTCCTTAAGCAATGTGAAAAAAATGGAAAAACTAGTAAACCGATTTTTTTTATAGCAAATATTAACCTCTATTGCAAATATTCCAGTCTCATTCTTGGATGTTGATCTTAATTTTTGGTTAATAACGAATCGCTCCCCAGTTAATTTTCTCCACATCTCTCGAGTTTTGAAGAACAGAGGGTGTCAAAGGGTAGATTGCAGCCAGTTCCATGCAGTACAAGGGCGTTTGTGAGCTAGTTTGTTATATACCCTGTGGAATGTTTCTGTTAACCCAGATGGAATATATCAGAATTTAGTTTGGCCTCCACTGCACACATTCATTAATGGCCATTACAAACATCAATTGCTCATACAAAAGAGATGTTTACACTGATGTCTGCAGGGGAGGAAAAATCATCCATTCAGTTAAAAGCAATGGATTTTTGCAGTTTATGCTTAATAATTACACTGATGTTTTGGACTTGGATAGCAATCTCCAAAGTGATCTCTAGTAATCACAGATATTTGTATAGTGTGGTTCTATCACATACATTTTCATATGCTAACATAGACATGTATATTATTGACATATTAACAGCATCTAAAATGTAAATGTTTTCCATATGAATGGTTTATAGGTATACAAATGTTTAAAATCCTTTTAGGTTTATAGAATATTGAACACATTGTTTGAATACATTGATTTTACTGCATTTAATCAATTATATTAATCTTTAGGCCTTTGTCATGCTTTTTCAACTAATTTAACATTACAGTATAATTAATGAAAAAAGTTTACAAAATGGTATAATGTAGTAAAAATAATTGTTACTACAATTATCTGCCTGTTGTGTTTTGTATTGATGAGAAGTGGTTAGCTTTCGTGTGGAGGTGGGATTAGGTTATAATAGTGAAATGTAACTATACAAATTTATTCCTGATATTAAAAAAGAATATGAAGAATTCATATTTTTATGTTTTAGATGCTGTCAGTACGTCTTTATCGCATATATTCAAACATACAAAAAATGTATGTGTAAACATTACTTATAAATACCTATGCATTTTAATGACATCAGGCATGATTATGAATTTGGTCTCGTCTGGATGATTTACAGGTGATGTATTATATAATTTGGCTAGAATTAGAGGTAGAGTACTATTTGCATTGTGTTCAAGCCTGTTTATCTCACAATCTCAATTGTCTGTCTTTTGACAGTAATTTTTTTCCACAGCTGTTCATTTTTTCCCCATTGTAAGGCAGATGGCATATTCTAAACTTTGAACCAGAACATATAGTCTTTTTTTCTTTGTTCTTTTCTCTGTTGAATATGCAATTTGACAAAATAGAAGGTCCATGTAGAGAAATAAAGGGAGGGACGGATTATTTACATGGGGTTAATGAACAGAAGTCCAGCTCCTGTGGCTTCTTTTTGTCTGCACACTTCTCCCTGGGAAGCAACTTTCCCACATTTGTAACGCAGCGAATCAGGCGCCGTTTGAACCCCTTCCCACAGGTCTTGGAGCAGGGGGACCAGTCACCCACCTCCCACATGGGGCAAGGATCTCCACATGCCCGAATAGCACTGGGCTTTTGGGCAGGCTCACAGTCCATTCCAGGCCCACCATCTCCCCCAAGACACTGCACCATCCTTCTCTGCAGTCCATTACCACAAGTAACCGAGCACACATCCCACCCTGCCGCCACCCACTTCCCTGGTTTCAGCCCAATATCTTTGACATATGAAGGTGAGATTTTGTCCTTAAGAAGATCTGCCTCTTTTCCACCTTTATTGATTCCGCCCTCTTCTCTAAGAACACTGTTTTCAGCACGTGCCTTTTCTTCTTTCTTTTGCACCTTGGTATCTTTGCTCTCTCGTGGCAAGTAGAAAGAATAGCGGATACGTGGAGGTGTCATCTGGCCCACAGATAGCACTTCAATTACCAGGGCTTCCCCCAGAGGCTTCACAGCCTGAAGAGTTTCTGAGGAGCCAACTGTTCCACTGTAGCGGATCAGACTCCCTTTCACCAGAATATCCTTCTCCATGGCTGAAACCACATAGTTTCCATTCAACAGGTACTTGCCCTGGCTGTTCTTGACGGCAAGATAGTTGTCATCGCTCACAATGCCCTTGTAGCCACGCTGCCTGATGTCAACGTTAGACGCTTCCACAGGAAGCATGACCACAAAATTGTAACCATGCCTGAGAAGAGAAAGGTCAGAAGAAGGATTAGAATGGTTTTGGAATATTATTTTCTTTCTTAGTACACCACTTGACCAATTCAAAAAGAAATATTAAGAATGTGAGTTTGAAGTCTGAATGTACTGAATGTGACAGCATATCTAAAAAAATAATGGCAAGAAATGCCATTAATCATTTCCACTAATCAAAATCAGAATCAAATCAGGAAATCTGTATCGATACCCAGGCTTACCAAAAACATGAGGTTAATAAATTGCATGAATTATTTTCAGATTATTTGTGACCCAACTTCACTCACATGGGCTTGGTGAAAAGGCCTGAGACCTTCTTGCAGTTTTTATTATCTCCTCCACAGACACCACACTTGTCAAACTTCTTGTTGGATCCCAGTTTTCCATCACATCCTGCCTTGATGCATTTGCCTTGGACACAGACTGATGAGGAGTCAGGAGAACATGGTGTACCATCAACAACCTATAAAAAGCAGGGAAAATGTATTTGCATGCCAACAGTCTTGTGGATACACATATATTTATGGTGGGAAAAATGTAGGGCAATCCTTGTACAACCATTTATTTTCTTTGCAAAACAATGCTTCATGTACTGATGAATTAAATACACAAATTACATTTCTTTTTTATTTGTAATTGAAAATTTAGATTAAAAGGAAGATAGACAGAAAATGGTTGCTACATATAAAGTACATGTACATTAAATAATCTTTTTAATGGTTCCCATTGCTCAGTTTTAGAGCAGCTTTGCAAAACAGGCTGATTTCTAACTATGACAATATATGTGGGGATGCATTGAAACAAATGAGTCTAGCCTGTCTGCTATGAAGCTATTTCTGTCCCTATTCTGTTGACCATTTGTTTTGGATGAGTTACACTTCAAATTAGCAATGGGGCTTACTGAATTAATATGCAGTCTAGTCTTCGGTATTGCTTATTTCCTTTTCTTTTTTTGCCTTTGGCAAAACATGTCTTTAGCAGATTAGAGTTCATTGCCGTCTCTTTAAGAGTTCAGGCTCTGCATAGTTTCTTCAATGTCAAATCCCGGTTAAAACAGCATGTCTCATATACCTCTTGCCATGCTCTAGCCTTGACGTAACTGTTGCGTCTGTACAGTGTCACTCTGCACAACAGTATCTCACAAAGATAGGCCCTTTCACCTTCCTTATCTTTCCTCTCACTTTCATCAGTTCTGTCTGTCTGTCTGTAGTGACATCTGGCGCAAGTGTAAAGCAGCCATCAAACAACAGGTATGCTCACCACGTCCTTTCTCCTCTTACATGCCTATAGTAATATATGGTTTTAATTTAATCATTCTTTTCCTTTCAATAAATTCTTAGATGAATGTTTAATAACTCATAACTGTTCTGAGATTGCATGTGTAGCCTTTCATGTACCAAACTATTGCAAATGTATTTTATGGTGTTAAGGTGTGTTTTAGTTCACTTTATGTCATAGTCTCCCGGACTCACTGACAGGTTATATCCCCCGCAACCCTCACAGCGCACTCAAGCTTCATAATCTCCAGTGAGAGAAGCTCTTGATCCTGAGAATCTTAGTTTATATATTTTTTAGCTAATATATTAAAGTATATAATACTAGTTATAATATATAGGTCCCATTATTAGATTAACTCATATTTTCCACTGCATGAACTGATAAAATTGATATTAAAATTATGTTTGATATATATTTTTGATGTCTTAAACCCAAACTTCTTTTTAATATTGTTTATTAAATAATTTCTAAACATGACAGATGGTTGTTAACACTTTAATTGCCCACCTTTGGTGCAAGAATGTGGAAGTAGCCTGTTCCATTTGCCCTGCAGATCAACTTGCATGTATCTTTAGACGAAACACCAGAATATTTGGGGACCCACACCACAGAGGGGGTAAGCCGGTTAGTATTCAGACTAAACCCATTGTAAGCTTCACACTGCTCCTCACGATAGCTCTTGCCTAAAATGACAATGAGGCAGATGTAAGTGGAGCACGTTCTTGAAATGCTTATTTTATTCCATATGCAATGCAGAAAAGCATCAATTATTCCAAATAATACAATTATCCTTGTTTATTTTTTTTACACTGATGCTGATTTTGTGTTCCGTAGAGAGAAAAATTTAGAAAGGGTTTTAAACCTGTGTCAGGGCATGGGAAGAGGTTGCAGGAGTGGTATTTGACCCTCACTCCCTGGCAGTATTTGCCGCCATTGACTGGCACAGGGTTGTCACACTCTCTCTTTGACAGCTGCACTCCACCTCCACAAGTTCTGGAACAGGTACCAAACGGCCCCCATTTACCCCATCTGCCATCCACCTAATACAGAAGAAACAGGAAGAGGGGTTTGACACAACTCACTTGACCTTTGAACATTGAATATCCCTTGAAAACAGACTCTTTTTACTTCTAAACCCCAAATGACTTGGCCACCAAGAACACGTTCACGGGTCATGTTCAAGATCGCTAAGCAACAGGTCAAATATACCAAATAACAAGTGGAGTATGCTTAACAGGCTGACATCGGTATGTCAAATCTCTGTTGTGGTCACATGATGTCTTTCACACTGCAGTGAGAGTTCCTTTAAAATGCATTCAATGTGTTCATACAACAAAAGTGTAAATCCTTTTTTCTTAAATTCTGAATTCTGCAAGTAAGCATGATCAAAACAGCAGTGACAGTTTGTATATTTAGTGTTCATCCATCCATCCATCCATCCATCCATCCAAGTATTTGAGATACTGTATGAGATGTGTGAAGGTACCTTAGTTTTGGTGATCTCCTGTTTGTCCATGCATGTGCCCCTCATGCAGAGCTGTCTGTCCCCGCAGCTGGTTCCGTCTGCCCATGGAAAGTGTCTTGTCTGGCACACCAGTTGCCCGCGGGTCTTCCCTGTGCACCATAAGCGCTGACATGGTGCCTGCATGAACAGGCAAGGCTTTGAGCCGCCACCAAAGGCAAGCTCACACTGTTGCTCTAAACCATACGATGCACCTGGGAGCACATCTGGAAGAGCTAACGGTTTCTGAGGTTGATCCAGCAGACAATCGCCTGCAAAGATGTCAAATAATAAGAGAATGTTACACACAGTTGTATGAAATTGTATTTACAACACTTCAGAGACTTTTGTTTACACTAATTTTACCTGTAAATCTTTATTAAAAGTCACTCTCAAACCAGGAAATACATATGCAAGACTTGCTCAGCTCATCCTAACACAACTAGGCCTATACCAACGTCCCTTTAAGGCAAGTCATTTCATTTCATTCATCCTCTCGGGCATGCAAGTGCAGCTCCTGTCTCTTTGAATGGGGAAACTTCAAATTCTCCCAATGTGTTCACCAAACTTACGATTAAATTTCATATTTGAAATCACCAATGAAATCTGACAGCAACTGTCTCATAATTGTTGTTTCTTTTGCTCAAATAGTATTAAAAAAGCTTATTTTTCAGGCTAGACCTGCCAGTGCGCATGCGCAGTCCTAAGCATGCATCTCAGAATGCTGTTTCTATAGCAACCAGGACATCTAATGGCAGCTGCAGAGATGCGATGACTTTACTGATTAGCGATTGGCTCTTTTATTTAGAAGGCGGGCTTCCTTCGACAGAGTGGCCATATTGAACGTTGCATTTTTCCCCATTCAAAATTATACGAGTGACACATCTTGGGGATTCTATAGTGATTACACAAAACCCTATACTGAAAATTCCAAAAGGAAAAAGTGCACTTTAACTACCCGAATGATGCACTTAAATAACCAAGGGCCCTATCATACGCCCGGCGCAATGCGCTAGTGTTTTTTGCTAGTTTCAGCCCAATGCAATTATCATTTTCCCGTCCTACGCCACGTTGTTTAAATAGCAAATGCGTTTGTGCCCATTTGTGCGCCCATGGCCGTGCTAATCTGAAAACGAGATGTGTTCAGGCGCATTGTTGGCGCGTTGCTGAAAACCTGCAAAGACCTTCAGTTTCCAACTGAAACCTGGTCTGTCAATGGCGCAATATTTTTTTTTAATTAAAGAGCGCATTAGTAATAGGCACCTATAGGCGGGTGAACAACGGGAGCAACAGGGACGTGCATGCAGCAGTGCACAAACATATCAAATATTAAAAATGAAAGGATTACAATGTTAAAGATTATTATTGTGTCCCGTAGATGGTCTGCTCGTGCACTTTAGCCTCACGCACGAGCAGAACCTTTCCTCTCTGGAGAAGCGTTCAGTCTTTGCTCTTGCAAATTCCACCATGTACATAGCGAATCGGCCATGGCGCAAGCGCAGCTGGCCATTAAAGGGAATGGGAGATGAGACTCTGATTGGTTTATTGCACGTTACACCCAAAACACACCCATGAATCGTTAAGAAAATAGGTATAACTCTTTTGGACCATGCACCCGGTGCACCGACCGTTTTTCCCATAGCAAAATTGGATTCGGACACGCCCTAAGTGCACTTGCGCCGTGCGCTTTAGACCATGCGCTTAGATCTTTAAAATATGGCCCTAAGCGTGGAATGTTGAACACTTCATGCACTCAACTATTGCAGCTTTAATTACGTAGTGAAGGGAGAGGGGCTATCAGACTCCATTAATGAATGACAAAATAACCTTATATAATTCATACACTACATGGTTGAGTATAGTGCATAAATACTTAGTGTAAAAGTGCATAGTGTATAGTGTGTCGTTTGGGACTGAATTAATTTGACAATTATGCTATTCAAAGTCATTCTGTATTCTTTTTTTTAGTACAGTTTAAAATTCATTCTGTAGCTGACTTGTTATACAATTCTGTGTGTTATGATACTGATTTTGATAGTGTTGACAAAGCTCAACGCTAAGGAAAATTTCTACTGGCCCAGTTGGGCCAGTGGTTCAAATTTTTTACTTGCCCTGTCAAAAATTTCACTGGCCTTGCCGAAATAAACAAACAAACAAACAAACAAATTAATAAATTAATTAATTAGACTTATTGTTTTCATTGTTGACCGTAACCTTGTATTGTAATAAATGATAACCATTTAGCACAAATAGATGCAATAGTATGATGAAATGAAATGAAACTTTTCGGTTCACATTAAAGTTAATTTGTAGCTTTCACATATTGCCAAAATTCATGCAAACCGCTCTCAGACCCCTGAAGCATCACAGATTAAGTGTAGGTCTACAGGAAATGCACAGTATTGCTTTCATTTATTTACCGTGTCCACTGTCCAGGTAGTCAGTGATAATGGCAGCACTGCATGGTGACCAGGGACTGGTGCGGTTGATTCGGATCAGAGTGGGAGACATCATGTGATTGTTCTGCAGCTTGCCAAACACCTCCTCACATGCCTTAACATTATCATGTGGCATATTGAAGACATGGCCTGTAGCATTGTAGGAGTAAAGGAGAGGAGAAAGAAGTGAGAACACAAGAGGGAAAAAAAGACAAAAAACTAAATGCGATGTGTGTCAGCACTTTAAATTGATGTAAATTAACCATCTCTAGAAATTATCCAAATGTAAATTTATATTTTTGCCTTTAAAATCACCAATCATTCCAATACAATTTTCCTGTCAGCAGTCGGACCACAGCTATGCTGAGTCACTTCTACAATACCTCCAACATCTCCCCACATTTCCTCCCTGGCCTTGAGAGGAAAGTTTTGCAAAACCGCCTATGAGGTTTCCTACAGGGAAATAAGCCACTTCAATAGAGCTTATCTTTCCTCAGCTGCTCCACTGCTCTAATCTGAATTGATTGAACATCATCTCTGGGACAATGTTGTGGAGATCCTCCAAAAGATTTTGAATGCTGAAATCACTGGTTCTAGACCCACATATTGAGTAGGATCGGCAAGCATTCAGTTAGGAGATTTCAGCACCTCCAAATGACAATGCAAGAAGCTTGTTATTGGAGCATCATGCTTATGCTAGGAGTGATAAAATGAATGCAAGTTTAGGAGAAACTGTGTTTAGTGTTAGTCAGTGATATTCTGTGTGAAATGTATTAAATTAATATTTTTAGTTTATTACAAGATATTAAGATATTTTAAGAACAATGGCAAACTGCTAAGAAGGGTCAAGGAAGAGCCAGGAATTATGGGTAATGCAGTTTTTTAATATTAACTGCTTTTTAAAAATGTTTTATTGAAGTCAGTCATGCTGACTCGTGGCTTCTACAGAAGCATACTTCATTGTTTAACAATCTTGTAGCTCGTGGTACTGTACAGTATAGGTCTCTCTTGGAAGGTTTATATTTTGCCGTTAAAAATCAATTTATCAATGGAGAAAATGAATGGGATTTTAATTGCCAGAACCCTACAGTTTGCGCTGTTTACACTTACCAAGCTCGTGGGCAGTAGTGAAGGCAGATGGCAACCCATCATCTTCAATCACAGAACAACTTCTCTTGGGATCACACATGGTGCCGACATCTGCCATACCCAGTGTGTCACATGTTGAGGCTCCGCACAGGTCCTATATCAGCAGAATGTAAACAAATTGTGGTCATCATTCTTATTCTGAATTTTTAACATTCTAAATGAGGATTTGTTTTGTAATTACAAGTCAATGTGAGTACAAATAACATTTTATCATATTTAACCCATAAAAAGGTAAGTGTAATTTTAATTATTACTTTTTATATACTTTTAGCATTCAGTACACATCTAAAACTAAATAATTTAGATTAAATTTACAGCTGAATATTTAGCAAATATATAAATTGGTGATGCTGCTGGGCAAATCAACCAATGGTGTATAGTTTCAATCATTGGCACATAAATCCTGGTGTAAAATTATATATTAATAATAATAAAAATGAAAAAAAATGGTAACATAGATATGCAAGTAAATTTAACTGAATAATCACACTAGCACTGAGTGAGAAACATTGAGTGAAAAATAGGAAATAGGTATCTAGAATGTGCTTTTAATTGACATGGAAATATTTCACATGCTCAAAATATCTCTAATTTTTATTGGTCAAAAATGCAGGTCCAAATTTCCGACTGGCCTATATTGTGTTTCCACAGTTTAAAATGGATTTGCTCAAAAGATCTGAGCCCTACTGACTCAACATCATAATAGCAGGTTTGCTGGTCCCCCTTATCCCATGGTGCAACACCCTATACCAACTCCCAAAAAAGGGCTAGCATTGACTGTGGTCGTAAACCTTAGCATTAAAATTAAAGTTTCTCTCTGGCCACAACACACTTAAAGGGAACAGAAGCTTCACAACACTCAGGAGAAACAGTTCAACTCCTGTTATTCAACAGCATAACATCTTTGACCACATATTAAATTGCATTGTCTAGGATGAAGTTCCATATCAGTCTGACATGTTACTCATATTTATACATAACAATCAAAACGTTTTTTAGTAAGCATCCAAGCCTACAAGGACAAAGGGTTTCTTCTGGTCTACTTACATTCTCTCTCTCTCTCTCTCTCTCTCTCTTAAAGGGGTCATGAACTGAGAAATCAAAATTCCCTTGATCTTTTGACATATAAGAGGTCTCAATGTTAGAAAAGAGTGGATGAACTTTATTTTTAATGAAGATTCAGACTGCATCAGTAAGACCTCGGAGTAGCCCGTATTTATAATACATTATAAGGGTATTCTTAAGGCATTATAAATATTGAATGAATAATGCATTATAAAAAAAACGTATATGTTGTATCGTCTCATAAATAATCATAATAACAGTTTAATATATTATAATGCATACTTATTTGTGGTTATAGCTCTTAAGAGTATGATGATTTATAACACAATGAACATGTTGCATCCACTGAAGTTACAATGAATTATATTTCCCATAGCTATAATGTATCATAAGTCTCATATCTTGCCATTGTTTAAGATCTGCGCAATAACTTAGTACATCTTATTAGTGTTTTTACTGTAAAACGACAAATACAAAGTCTTCATGAAAACATCCAAAAGGCTTTAAAATGCGGTCTTATTATTTATAAGTGTTCTTTGTCTACTTTAAGTAAAGTAACTTCACTTTATTAAAAAAGACAAAGACCACTTATGTCTTTTTATTATTATAATAATAATAATAATATTTTTTTCTCAAACAGCCATAAAATCAAATATCAGATCAGATGAATGTGTACGCATTTGCTTTGAACTATTTTTATTGTAATATCAGTATGGTTATTTTGATGGTAACCTTTAGACAACTGTTGATAAGTAACTTTGCAACTACCTGTCAACTAGCAGTCATTGGAGTATTAGTAATATGTCTGCTAAATATTGTGTTTAAGATCTGCGCAATAACTTAGTACATCTTATTAGTGTTTTTACTGTAAAACGACAAATACAAAGTCTTCATGAAAACATCCAAAAGGCTTTAAAATGCGGTCTTATTATTTATGTGTTCTTTGTCTACTTTAAGTAAAGTAACTTCACTTTATTAAAAAAGACAAAGACCACTTATGTCTTTTTATTATAATAATAATAATAATAATATTTTTTTCTCAAACAGCCATAAAATCAAATATCAGATCAGATGAATGTGTACGCATTTGCTTTGAACTATTTTTATTGTAATATCAGTATGGTTATTTTGATGGTAACCTTTAGACAACTGTTGATAAGTAACTTTGCAACTACCTGTCAACTAGCAGTCATTGGAGTATTAGTAATATGTCTGCTAAATATTGGCTAACACTTTATTTTGATGGTTCCCCAACAGACATTCTACTGACTATAAGAAACTTTGCAAGAACGTCAACTTATTCTACCAAACCTTAACCTAAGTCTACTAATACTCTAAATGAGAGTTAGTTGACATATAGTTGCAAAGTTGCTTATAGTCAATAGACTACAGGGACCATCAAAATAAAATGTAATGTAATATAAAAATAAAAACATTGTATTTTTTTTATTTGAAAATATTATAAATGATCTTAAACTAGCTCACAGCAAAATTAACATTAACCTCACAGGAAACACTCAAAAACACTCCTAAGCACTCCCAAGATGTAGTAAGATACTGTGCAGATCTTAAATAAACAATGTCACGATATGAGATCATCCATTATAAATTAAGTGGATTTAATATGGTATTAATTGTGTGTTATAAATGATCATACAAAAGTTATAACCACAAATACATAAGTATTACAATGCATTATAATTGTTGTTCGCTTCATTTTACAGCAGATTTGTTTACAAAGAAAGCACAATTCGACACAGTATTTTCAGAAAGATTGAAACTATAAGACCATGCTGTGCTGACTATATGTGACCCTGGACCACAAAACCAGTCTTAAGTCGCTTGGGTATATTTTTAGCAATAGCCAAAAACATTGTATCGGTCAAAATTATCAATTTTTCCATGTTCCATGAAGATATTTTGTAAATTTCCTACTGTAAATATATAAAAACTTAATTTTTGATTAGTAATATGCATTGCTAAGAACTTCATTTGGACAACTTTAAAGGCGATTTTCTCAATATTTTGATTTTTTTGCACCCTCAGATTCCAGATTTTCAAATAGTTGTATCTCAGCCAAATGTTGTCCTATCCTAACAAACCATACATCAATGGAAATCTTATTTCTGCTGCTTTCAAATTATGTATAAATCTCAATTTCGAAAAATTGACACTTATGACTGGTTTTGTGGTTCAGGGTCACATATTGGATTCGACAGTAATGTCGCACCACACAAGTGTGAGTAACACTTTACTCACGTTGCGTTTTAATTATGTGGCTTTGTCTGTTATTACAGATTGTTTGATATGTACTGAGTATTTATGCGTTTTTAACCTAAATCACAGCAGTGTTCACCTGTGAAGGATGTAAGCTGTCAAACAAACACAACTGGTAGCCAATCATAGCACTGGCCATTTACTTCTGAGTCTACAATCCGCCACTCCTGTTCAAACAGAGCTTTCCGATGAGGGGGTCAAAACAGGACCGAAAATAGCCTGTTACTTCTAAATTATGTTTTATGATGTACAAATATTGATAACATTATAAGTAGACCTCAGAGAACAGTACAAATAATAAAAAGGCAGTTCATGACCCCTTTAATTTGGCCTAGTTCTCACAATCTCTATGCATTTCTTGATGTATGTGAATCCAGCTGCTAACTCCCAAGAGTCATCATGGGGCTAATCATAAAGTCTCCCTAGTCTTTTTAGACCTGGAGACCTTTAGACGATGGATGTCTTGTTCAAATATTAACCACGTCCAAATGCTTCCCTGTAGTCAGGCATCTGACAGAAATATATTGGTTGGGAGTGTATTAAGACATCAGAGTTTAACTCCAACCCTAATTAAACATTTGAACCAGTTAATCAAGGTCTTACTAGGCATACTAGAAACTTCCAGGCAGGTGTGTTGAGGCAAGTTGGAGCTAAACTCTGCAGGACACAGGCCTGAGTTTGGAGACCCCTGTTCTAGACTACTATACACAAACTATTACAAACATTAATGGACAATTTCATGAACAGTTGGACTTCTTCGGCCCAAACTCTGCATCTTATTCATATATCACCCGCAGTTCAGCTGTGAGAATAATAGTTTAATTTATTAATATAATTTGCAAGTTTTCTAAACTAAAATAAAAATTTTATAATGAAATAACACATATAAAACATCTGATTAGAAATAAGAAACACTGTAGACCAGAACCCTGTCCTGACAAACTTGCACTTGTGTGACCTGGATTTAAAACGTGATGCACTGTTGGATGAAATGTGAAGAAAAATATCAGATGTGATCTATGTTATTTTTTTTCTATGATATATTTATCAGCAACCATTTAAGATGCTATCTGATCGATTTATTGTTCCATTGTATCCAGTGAATTCATTGTACAATTTTCCCCACTTATTCACCCCCCTCCTCCAGAGTTCAGACTCCAAGTCCCTGATGACATGCTTTGGAAATAAAATATGGTATGAGCCTTTTGGATTCTAGCCATCTGCTTGTGCCAGGTGGAGGAAACAGAACCAGACCATTTTAGGTTCTGGTTTAGCTAATGGTCCTGTGCACAGACAATGTTAGATAAGCAATGAGAGCAGTCATTTCAATTAACTTATCTATCCATTATTTTTTTTATCCAACCTCTATGTTTGGCAAGAAATCTCTTTATCCTTTGCAAAACAGGGGGGAACTTGCCCATACTCTCCACAAGCAGCGCTGACCCAATTGGCATCCAGCATTGCAAACATACGACTTTCATTATGCCTTTATAAAATCCAAACTGTTCCATATGTGCATTTCTCTCTCTTTTTCCCTCTCTTGCTAACTCTTGCCTTCCTTCGCACTTTCTATCTATATCATTGTTGTACTTTCTCTGATAAACTATCTAACACTACCCCTGCGGGGCGGTAGTGGTTATATGGTTAGCCACCCGGGTAGATCTGCACTTCCAGCAGACTGTCTATGCAAACAATCACATAATTAAATACAGGCCACATAGCAATTTACATTGTAGTTCTTAAACATTACAAAAATTAGAAGTTTCTTCTAATGATTGCAACAATGTTTGAGGCCTTTGGTTTTTGCCATCTTATTTGATCTTGTTCTGAATTTCAACTGCCCAACAAGCGCAATGAAACAGTTTCTTTTAAATTGTGACGAACTTGAGAACCACGTGAACAGCAAAAAGCACATGGCAGTCAACTAGCTCCAAGCTAGTGATCATTTTCAAACTAAATATGTTGTTATATAAAAATAGGAGATGGGTCTATGTAGCCCAAGGCTGTTGGTTACTTTTAGTTTGCCAGCTAGCTAAGGAACATATTGAAAAGGCAGATTGTGCAAATGTTTGATGCTGGTAATTTTAACAATAGTTGGAATTAGCAGTGACATATTTTGCAATAAATGCTATAATGTTGAGTTCAAAGGCTTGTTGTTGTGTCTGAGTTAGATAGATGTGTTTGGGGGTCCTATATTTATGTTAAAAAATGCTTAAATGCTTGACTCTTAAAGAATAATGCTATCCTTCACTTTCCCTTAGTGTCTCACATAGTGAACAAATGCCTTTGATAAAGGCTGTATTTAGAAAATGCAAATAAACTTCAGATGTGCCTTTTTGTCTCTGTGATGAACAGCTGAGTCAAACTTTTCAGCTGGCTTGCTGTTCCCAATTACCTAAATTACATAACACAAGGATCCATTATAAAATACCAGTAATGTTCTACATGAAACGTCATTATAAGTATACAGATATATTTACAACCAAAAAATAAGCCCTCAACAGAATGTGCAATTTCCATATCGAATGTACACAAAAAGCAAACTTTACCATACAAAGTAGATTACACATGTACACTGTAAACTTTAGTTCATGTGCTGCAGTTGCATGTAGAGCTTTGTAAATTTAATAGTTTTGTAATAGTTATATTTCATGTTGCCATATCATGACTCTCGGTCTCTCTTGCAAGAGTGGCCTAGTTATATTTTTTGCTTTGGTTTTTATTAAACATGAACTGTTGCATTTTTGCATGACTGGCCAGCAGTGACTCATTCTGAGACTTTTCTTGTTTCTTGCAACAAATGTACTTATTAAAAATCATATTTGCTGCCATAATATTGAATTGGTGATTAAAATACCTACAATAATCCACTGCTGGTTTTGATGCCACTACATCATTTGACAGAAAATGAGGTCATAACAGAACAGCCTGAATGGAAAGATATGGTTTTATTCTCAGGCTGCAGCTGGGATTGGAGCTCTGCAGCAGGTGGGCCTGGACACAGCGGGCACATAGATTTTCTCTCTCTATCTTTCCTGCTTTTCTCTCTCTTCACCACCCTCAGCCTCTCCATCATTAAATACTTGTAATGGGAAACAGACTGAAAGGGAGTAGGAGGAGAAAGAGGGGTAAAGAGTCAGAGCGTTTGCAGCTGGGACTGAGGTTAGGGGAAGCTCCCCATGAAACTGGACACTTCTCATTAGTGTATCTCCCATAGTCCTATATGAAACTCCCTTTACCTCTTTTTTATACACTGGCCTTGCTGACATAAACAGATTAAAGAAATAGTTCTGTCATTATTTACTCACCCTCACGCTGTTTCAAACCAATTTGACTTTCTTCAGTTGAACACAAAAGAAGAAAAATCAAAAAATGTACTTGTAACACTTTTCCATTCAAGTACAAGGCACTTTAAAACTTCAACAAGGATGCAAACGAACCATGAAGTGCAATTTATTTCAAGTCATCTGAAGTTAGTCATCATTAAGTCAAGAACTGCATCGATCTGTTTGTGATCACATTATTAAAAACCTGCTTTGTGAACCTGATCAACCGATTCATCTGTAAGATCTGACTCTCATGAACTCTCTCAGTGCAGAAAGGAGAGTAACAACTTTTCAGTCTTTTTCTTACACAAAGCTATCGTGCCTTCAGAAGACTTGAAATATTGCATGCATCATATGAGCTACTTTTATTATCCTTTTCTGGTCTTTTTTGTTTGAAGATTTAAAGCTCTAGTCCCAATTTATTTTAACTAAATGGAAAACAGCAACTAATATTCCTATTTTAGCTATTTAATATGATAGGTTGCAATGCATTAACTAAACAATGTGATCATCTTCATTTAAATGTATGCAGAATCAACAGTTTTATAGTAGTTTTATGTAGCAAGCCTGTACATTCAATATATACCTTCTGTACTGTTTGCTTATCCATCCATTAATTCATCTAACCAACCATCATCCTTTCCATCCATCCATTCATTTGCTTATCAATTTACATTTGTAATTTCATTCATTTTCTCTCTGTATTATTTATGCAGACTTGCATAATCACACCATACTCAGGTTGGAAACTTTAATATAGGTTAGCAGATGTACAAGTCTAGCCCCTCTCCAACTCATCTTGAGTCATCCAAGACCATGGAGAAACCTAACAATCTCTCTCTGTCCACAGGGAGTAATGAACATAATGAGTGGAAGAATGTAGGGAGTAACTCTGCTCTCTTGCTAAAATGCTTCATAAGTTCCCTTTGGAGAAGAAACAATAAAACATTTACTCTCCTCAGAATGATTCACTACAGCTGTCATCTAGACTAGGCAGACATTACTGGTCTGGATGTCCAGCTCAGGTCATGTGTAACTGCAGCAGATTGCCAGAGGATACAATGGTTGTGCTCATCTGATGTGTTTGGAACTGGAAATGTTTTCACACATACAAGCGTTCCTAAAAAACAGCTGACAGCATAAAATTAGTTCATGGGTGAGTCTTTACAAAGCAGGGGTTTATGTGTGCATAACATCATAATCTGAGGACTGAATGCTAAGCTTTGTCCAGCCATTCCTTAATATTGCCCTGGTCAATGTCATTGACAAACAGCTGATAACAGTACTGAAATAAATTGAAACAATGCTCCATTTATTCTGCAGTTGGGTTAAATAAGGGCAGGAAGATGTGAAGTTGTAGGAAGTTGATGCTACTGAAACTAACAAACAGAATTTTATACAAGTTGGTAACCAGTAAAGCCAGTCAGTCATTTCAAAATATTTCATTTAGTTTAATTTAAGCAATAGTCATCATTCCAGACTTACTGGAAAACTGTGCCTGTGACATTTCTTGCAAAATGATATTAAATTGTTTCTTGCATGTTTTGCAACACTTTCAAAGTGTTTCAAAGTCCAGCGAGTGCTGCTAAAAGTGTGTTCAGTTTTACTCTAAATAGATGAACATGAATCTGGCTGTATCAGGTGGGTCACCGAACAAGTTTACCACATCAGAAAAGTCATATGGACCTGGTCATGTGCTGCAAATATCAGAATGTATTAGTTTGCAAATCATGCTCTATGGTAAAAGTGTTTTGAGGTTATAACGTAATATTGCGCAAGGAACCATGTTATTAATTGATCATTTGTCCCAATAATCATAATTTGTGTAAAATGGAATAAACGTTGTGTTGAATTCTATGTAGGTATGTTACTGGAGACTTGCAAAAATGTAGGTAGAGACAATGAGCCTTGATCAATTTTAGCACTATTAAGTATTCTGCATTCGTGATTTGTATCTTTGCTGATTTAGAGCACACATTCCTACTTGCAGTGCTGATACAGAACAATAGCTCAAAGGCAGACCTGACCAATGACCTTAACAACACTTATAAACATGATGGGAACTGCAGGTTAACTGGAGAGGCCACTCTTGTTGCAGCCTGCCTATTACTCTGTGAGTTACAAAACATATTTCAGAATTTAGCCAAGCTTTATGTACCAGTGCTCAGATAAAACTTTTAGGTTAGAGTAAAAGCATTTGTTTTTCTTTTTTTAATTTTTTTTACAAACAACAATTAAAACGCCATATTTATGCTTATGCAGTTCACATTAAAAGCTGTGATTACAATGTCATCATAAATCCTGTCTAAATTGGTTTGATTATTGGGTAAGTAAATTGCAGCAGCCTGTGTGGTGTTCAGTTTTGTTTCTTGTTGCCTGCCATCTTGATATAATTACCACAAGATACATTAGCCGGATCATTCTAGGATTCGTTGATTCTCATACTGCCCCCTATTGACGAAAGGCGCATTACACCTTACCTGTTTTGTAAATAGGATGGCTGTATCCCAATACTCCGCATGCTTGTCGCTGTTTTTGTTCAGCTTCTTCTGCCAGGTGCAGAAATTACGCAGGGTCATCGCGGCGTTCCCGGAAACCTTGGGTCCTTTCTCTTCCTCGTTAATCACCATAAACTTGACAACCACGATGTTGATAGAGTTAAGAATAGTGGGGTGTTTGTAAAGCTTAGCTGCCACTGACATTAATGTCAGCACGTAATGCTTGAGGTCGTCATCGTGGAATTTGGCCATGGATTCATCGGCCACCACTAATGTCTCTACATAACGCGGAATGGAGACAAATCTCTTCGAGCGGTTTTTCAGAACTGACATAGTGACGTTACTCATGTGTTGTTCCTTTAGGTGCTTAAACTTCGCCAAAGACTGTGCAACGGTTTGGGTCACACCGCTGTCCACGCCGCATCTTGACGTGGAGTTGCCACTCAGATTAGCGTTAGATCTGCGGCTGATGAGATGCGCATGCATACTGTCCCAGTCTGTGTCGTTTAAAGCCGGCTTGATGAAATATTCCCAGTCATCGTAACCGAATGCGCCCTGCAGTCCCTTGCACAAGCTGAGCGCTGCATAGGAATAAGGATCAGAATTCACCTCACCGGCATAAAAACACCGGCTCAGATCTTCACTGTGCGCGGAATTTTGAGCAGTTGCGTCGGTGTGCGTCGAGAAAGCAGGCGCAAGGAAGCTGGAGTCCGACTGTAATTCGAGGACAAAATCTTGTTCGAATGCACTTATTTTGAACACAACTGTTTGCGGCAACGTGTTGTCTTCATCACTGACTAAATTGTTCTTGACATGATCCAGTCTGACGGGCACGCACATCTGACTCTGCATAGAATTCACAATTTCCAATTGAGCATAAAACACGTTAACAAGAAGAACTGACCTTAGGAACAAAAACATGTTTGTGCGCGAAAAAACGGGTTGATTTTTAAAGCGTAAAATGAGAAAGACAGTGAGATAAATGCAAGAATATTCCAGGATGCGGTTGCACTAAAATGTTGACTTTGCTCGTCCATAAAGAGTGAAATCCGCCGGTCGGTGATCCATCCCTTTCTTGTACCTGTATACTGAAGCAGCTCTGCTCATCTGTCGCCTTTATGCGCGCGCGTCATTTGTAAACATCCAGCGCTTGTAATCAGAAGATTTTGGGGAGGTGCTCGAGTGCGCTCATTGGGTATGCTTATTGTTTTAAGGTTAAGCCAGCAACTACTTGTGGCTCTGTGAGCTTTCGCATCATCAGCGCGCAGCGCTCCAAGAGCCGGGTCCCCTCCCACTACATTACAGCATCCAAACAGTGACTTAGGAGAGGACAGCACATGAATAAGGCATATTATTATATATTGCAAAGTTCTATACATATTCTATTTACGTGATCTTAAATTTTAACTCTGAGTTTGGAGGCCTATGTGTGATTTTATTTATATTTTCTTTTTTCTGAAACCTGCATAGACTACATTTAGTATTACCACTTGTTGTGGTAGGAAGTGAATGTGTAGCCGCAATGATTTCTGCACAAGTGAGGGACATTATCATTTAAGGGGAGGTTATGTAATGGCACACCAAAAATGTATATTATTTTCCATAATTTATTAAATTATTCAGTGAAGAGCATCCATGGTGCTTGTCATTTTCCAGACATATTTTTGGTGACACAATGTGTATTGTATAAAAGCGCTATAGAAGTAAAGGTGAATTGACTTGATTTGATAAAAAAAAAAAAAAAAACCTGACAATTGTACTTTTAGGGATACAATTTGTCATTGTGGCAGTACCCTTAAAGATACACATATCCCTGGGTACTTACAGTACATTACAGCTACATTATACATTAAGAAATATTCCCCCTTAGGGCTATAGCTAAGGTACAAAGGGGTACCTTTGGGGGTGTCGTCCTTTTCTTCATTGTGCTTCTGTAAGGACTTCTGAATCTAAAAATGGTCCATTTGATATCCTTGCTCAATTGACCCCATTCAATTATGCACAGGTGTAAGATTGACATCTTGTGGTGAAAACATTTCAATACAGCTTGCTACATATCAAGAGCCATACAAATAATAAACTACGACCTATAACAAAACATTTATAGTATTGGACAGTGTTTTTATACAGTAGGATCCCATATGATCTCTTGTTAAATTGTTTTATTGGCAGAAAAATGTCCGGTGTCCAACTTAATACTGCAAATGATACAATGCTGCCCCTGAGCGGTGGTTTTCAAATCAACCGTCTCTGTAAAACGCTGCGTTACGCATGCACTGCGCTAAGATAATCAACACCTGCAAGTCTCTTACTGTGTGTACTGTAAATAACATATTATATGTTACTCTGTTAATTCTTAAATTATGTGTCTTTCTATTTGTTCTTAAGAGGTTTTATGAGTTTAAAGTGCGCAAGCTTGAACTAAATCAATGCCATAAAGGGAGTGAGGAGCTCAGGGTTGTGCGTCAATTGTTTGAAATAACATAAAATATTGCAATTTGATGTGCACTACGTGATTTGCACGTATAGGCTATTTGGGAAAGGTTTTTTTTTCATTTGTTTTGATTTATGGTTAACCACCAGTCAGTGTCTATTCAGATGTCACCTTCATAGTCCGCTGCTATCTAGGAAGACACCATTTGCTCGTGGGTACATTGCGTTTCTTCCTAGATTTTCACTGATCTAACACGCCCCCTAGCATCTGGTTGACACTCAACACATACTTCAAGTGTCCTACAGCATTCCAGCCGGCTGTTATAATCATAGCTGTAAGCAAGAGCCGCAGTGAAAAGGGGCCGTGCCGGTTGCCCTATTGGATCAAACCAGGATTTTTTTCTGCTTTGGCGCACGAGGGGGAGGAGAGAGTATGAATATCAAAAATAAACCGCGTACGCTGGAGAAGCCCAAGACTGTATAAATACCAGCGCAAGAACATTCTTCGCTTATACACTGAGCCGGATGATGAGTATTTCCTTACAAGACTGTTTCTGTGAACTCTCGAGACTCAATTTGAATTCTTATAAATCAATATTAATATTATTTATTGCATCTTTGTTTTAAAATAGAATTATCTGTGCCTCCAGTGCCGTTTTCTTATTTTTCAACATAAAGGTTTGGATATTTTTTGAATTCACTATTAAAATGGTATCCACAATTGTTTGTTTTATGGTTTTCTTAGCAAATCTTATGTCTCAGTTAGCTCTGGGTGAGCTAAACGAGGAAGAGGAGACCGTGCCAGTAAACCTTACATTCAGAAAAGGTGGTTTTTGGAGAAATGAAGAGAGACGATTTAAGATCAATGCATTTGGTCAACTTTTCCTGCTTGACCTGACGCCGGATAGCAAGTTCGTGTCTCCATCATTAAACGTCCAGCGCGTAAATGCAAAAAACCTTCCAGCCGTTCTGGACGCCTCCAGGAGCGGAGGTGTTTTCAGGGATGTCCCCCAGTACGGAGACAGTGGTGCGGACCTCAGAGACTGTTTCTACAAAGGAACGGTCAACTCTGAAAAGGAATCGGTAGTTGCAGTCAGTTTATGTCACGGCATCCAGGGTACCTTCATAACGCAAGGTGACGAGTACTTTATTCAGCCTAAAGCAAGTGCCAAGACCACCGGGAAATCTTTTCTGCAGGTGCACGTCGTTAAAAGGCGAGCCTTTCCCAAAAATCGCAGAGCGTCAAATATGCTCTTTGATCAACAGAGAGTTGACCGTTTTGTGAAAAAGAGCAACCTGAACTCTAGTGAAGACGAAGACGGCAAAGTGAGTCGCGCAAAAAGGTTCGTGTCAGCTGCGAGATACATCGAGACCCTGGTAGTCGCCGACGCTTCTATGACACGTTTCTATGGAGACGAGATAAAGGTGAGTCAAGCTGCCTTTATAGAAGTCACACATTTTCTAGTCGTTTTATTTTGAATGGCATGAGCAATTGTTAATGTACAATTCAGACCGACCTGGCTGTTCATTTACTTAAGACGTTTCACCACTCATCCGAGGGGCTTCAGCAGACCACCTGGTGAAACCACTTTATATGAATATCAAGATTTGTATATATAATTTTCCTTTTTTATTTTATTTTATTAATATATTTATTTATTTTACAAGCTAATATCTTTCAGTCATGCCCCAATTGTTGTCCTTGGCAACACGGACAACTGTGACTGCAATATGTATGGAATATTTGTAGACATTTTTACAAACCTTTTAACTGTAGCTTATTTGCTACACCCACCTTTAATAAGGTACCTAAATAAACATTCGTTTCACAGAGACCCATCAAGTCTCCTCAATAAGTTTTCAAGGTGACATTCAATCTGACATAGCACGCGCAAAGAAAGTGTGCGTTAACACGTAAAACTGAATTTACCAGCAGCCTTCAGAGTGCATTTTAGGTCAACATACTGCAGTGTTGTAGGGACTAGGGAGCACTGATCTTGGAGCGAATCTGGCTTTTTGAAAGTTTTGGCATGTTTTCTTTCACGAAAGGTTTTCTTTCTCTCCTTGGTTGCTTGCAGTGGGGTTTCTCTCACGGAGATAGAAAGCTCAGGTGAAGTTGAAGATTGGAGTTACTGGAGTCCCTAAAGGGACCTTCGCAAAGAAAAAAAAAAGCAATTCCAGCTGCAGTGTTGAGCCTATCCCCCTTGAGTATCTGCATTATCCTGTCTTCTTGTGCATTTGTCTTATGTGGACGACCATGTACAGATTTAGAATGACCAACTTCTCTTGCAATGACTCAAATGGTCATCCCTTTGGCCTTCATCTGGACAACCTCCTGTTGCAGGGTTTCAGTCACCTTAGAGCAGCCCACCATCCTGCAATCTCAGTGAAAATTGGAGGAATGCTGCCAGTTAAACAGGATTTGTTATAATTAAGGAAATTAGCACCAGGTGCCAGATTAACACCAATAACACCTCCTTTTGAAATATCTCATTTAATTTTTATACTGTGCTTCAGAATACAATTAATTTATGAAATATGCTTACAAAACTGTCCTTCTACTCCTGTTAGGATAACTTCAAATAGGACTAAGTAGTGACCTCGAAATTCAGGAAAATATAGTTTTTTAAAAAATATTTTGATCTCCACTGTACTCCACTGCCATGATATTTGATGTAGGCTATAATAAGATGAAGCTCACGATTATGGTAAGGGGCGTTACATTTCCGATGAGTGCTTGTAGTGTTCAGCCAATCACAATGCACTGGGTCAGCTGGCCAATCAGAGCAGACTGCGCTTGTCGGAAGGAGGGACTTTATAGAAAACGAAGCGTTTGAGAGAGGCGGGGCATTGAGGACCTACAATAATGTACAGTATTTGAAAAATAATGTGTTTTTTGAACATTAAAGCATGTCAACATATTCTGTTACACCAAATACACCAAATAATTATCTTTAAAAAAGCATCATATGACCCCTTTAAAGAAAGCCAAAATTTGAGCAAATAGGTCTTTATTAATTCATGTGCATCCATACTCACGTTTTCTTCACAGTAAAATTGCAATGACGCACAAAGGAAATAGGTTATAGTTTAAATAAACATTGTACATTAAACATTGTAACACGTGCACACGTGAAAAGTTTATTGTGAGCACGCAATAGTTTCTCATGCGTATGCGAAAGTCTGTGTATTTTTTATTTTTGCAAAGGTCCCTTTGGGGCTCCGTAAGTTACAGAATGCTTTGAGCAAAATCTGTCAATCCATTCCACCTACAGTTTATAGTCCGGTTTTAGTCTGCACATTACTTGGAGAAATGTGAAGCTTGGTGTAAATAGAAATATGCATAATAACTGGTTTGTCAGAAATGCATGTACTATATGAAACAAAACACATTATGTTAACACTGCTAACTCTTAAGATATGTACTAAAGTAAACACTGAAAGTTCGGAATATGGACTCTAAAAAATGCTGGGTTGTTTCAACCCAACTTTGGGTCAAATATGGACTAACCCAACTGTTGGGTTAAATTTTACATAAAATTTTTAACCCAAAAGTTAGGTTAGTCCATATTTGACCCAAAGTTGGGTTGAAACAACCCAGCATTTTTTAGAGTGTGTGTTTATCCATTTAACTAATGTGCTGTTAACTAAATATGATTGCACTCAAAACAGCTGTCATATGTGCTGTTTCACATTATCAAGGATTTCAGGACAAAACTGTCATTCAGGGACACATTTTCATTCCAGTCAGTCTTTATTCCCATGTAAAA